GTTTATGTTAAAAACAGATTAATAAGAATGAGGGTTCTACTTAATGATGATAGCTATAGAGTATTTTCTATGCTGCCCACATGAGTTTTCTAACAGATGGTCTGCATTACAAATGAAAAACCCTGAATTATGTATAAATTGTATTTTGTCCTAAAATATGGAGGCTGTTGGAAAATAGATTTGCTATGCAAATGTCAGAATAATATGGCCTGAATTTCTAATTTTTTATGTTTAATTCCCTTTATTTAAAACTCTAATAATCAATTTTTTTAAAAACATTTTGACCTGATATAATATGAGACCAAAACTACTACATAGTCCAAATAAATAAAGAGGAAAATATTACTTGTTTAGAAGATAAAATTATCTTTGAGTCCTAAATATCTACTTTCCACTACATGTTCTGCAGCTTGATGTTTTTGGAAATAAAGAACTAATGCTGTACCTTATCTGATAGCTCATTCCTAAACCTCAACAGCTCGACTTAAAGCATCTTATTGTTTTTCCCAAAACAGCTTTTCTTCTTCAGTTTTTGTCAGAGGATTACTTTCGGACTGATGCAACATGCAGCATGAGCTACATGGTCGTTGCACATTTATGCATGGATTATTTTTGCAGAACTAGAGGGTTCCTTCAATGACAACCTTCTGCAGCCCAGGTTTACAAAATAGTGTTATCAAAGGTCAATCCTCCCAGCAACTGTTGAACTTTATACCAATCACCACTCCCAACTGATTTAAGGTTTGCATCCCTGCTGTTTTACATGGTTTTTTTTTGTAATCTGTTTTTTCTTTGTACAAAGATAAAATATAAAATCATATTTTGTAAATTGTTTAAAACACTCTAGTCAGATGCACATTGCTTTAATGTGTGATATCTTCATACTGTACAATTTATTTTTCTCATTGTGATCCATACTGCAGCATCCATTTCCAGATAACTATGCTTCTAATACACCTGCATTTCACATTGAAAGATTATAATGAATATATGTATTCTAGTTGATTTTATTGACATCCAAGATTACTAAGTAAATTTTTTGTGTATACAGTACATAGATATTAATTGTTTGATTAATTTAACTAATTCTCACATTTGATTTTTTGTCACACATTTAATCTATCAATAAAATGTGGGAAAATGCAAAAGATAATTCATTTTAAGCATAATCAGCAATGTAGAGAGCTTTATTGATTGGTATTAAACCAATACAAATTTGAACATTATGTAATGTTGCTTTTGTTTTTAATGTTGATCAAATATCTTAAAGGTTTTTCAGTTGTATTTCATGAATTTTCGTCACTGATCTTTAAAACATATTATCCACCCAATGGTTGAGGGAGCTTTTCTTAAACTGCATCGCTTAAGGCTCTGCTACTCTGATGAACCTTATGCTCTTTTTTTAAGTGAACTGCACTGTAAGAAATGTCTGTGAATTCACAGTATAAAGTTTTGCATTAATTTGAAGGAATTTCTCGGCATGTGTTTTTATGGATCTTTCAAGTGTACGTATCAGAGCCGTTTAGGTAAGAGAGTTCTGACAACTCCACTGACGACAATGGGCAACATTTTAGAGTAAGTTACATTAGAGAAACATTTAGAAAAAAAAAAAGAAAGTAAAAACGTAACAGATTTTACAATTTTTTTTTTAAACAGGAAAATCCACGTAAAACAAAAAACAAAAACAAAACTGAAAAGGTCCTTGTAATTTTCTGCCAGGAAGTTAACATCAGCTTATTTTTTTGAACGTGTTTTGCCCCTGGTGTTGGATGCTGTGCAACTGGAAGTATTTTTGCCGGGTTTTTTCCTTTTTTATGCAGAGCAGCAGTACGAAGAAGAAAGTGGAGCAGTAAATACAAGCCTTCACTTCCATCAATCATTATGGGCACTAGAGATCTTTCAGAAACAAGTAGAAGATCTCAAAGTCTTAGCAATGACCCAGTTATAATATTGCCTGTGCATTTATAAAAAACGTGGAAATATCAACAAAGGGAGTTGAGAGTGCTTGTGAACAATAGATGGTGTCATCTAGGACATGCTACTGTAAAGATAAGCCTCTACAGCACATATAATGAACTTTTAGCAGTTGGTTTTAATCCATTTTATTTACCCAGAGAGTTTACTAGCGCTGTTTTGGTAAGTGTTTATATTCCTCCTTCTGCTGTTGCAAAAGCCAAACTGCGTGTCATGTTACCAGTTCTGTTGTTGCTACGCTACAGACACAACAGCCAAATGCATCTGTGGCAATAATTGGTGATTTCAATGATGCCTCAGCCTGTGTTATGCTGCCAACATTCCAATAGCTTGTTAGCAAATGTCAAGGACTCCTACATCTCTAAAGTAAGACCTCCTTTTGGGAAATCAGATCATAGTCTTTTTTTTTTTCTGTACTCAGAGTACAAGCAACTTTATATGAGTAAACCATTATTAAAAAGAACAGAAAGAAGATTGTCACACGAAACTGGCAAAGCCCTGCAAGGTTGTCTTAAGTCTTCAGACCAGGATGCACTGTGTCAGCCACATGGAGAGGACATCAGTGCAATGATTGAGTTTGTGACTCTCTACATAAACTTTTGTGTAGATAACCATCCCCAGCAGAACAGTAAAATATTTGCCTAATACTAACGCCTAGATCACTAGTGATCTAAGGTAACTGCTAAACAAGAAAAAAGAGCCTTCAGGAACAAAAACAGGCAATTATTGAGGACTATATTGACACCACTTAAGACAAGATAAGATAAGAGAAAGCAATTAGGTACTGTATAAGGGAAGTGGATGGAAAGCAAGCTCCAGCAGAACAATATCAGAGATGTGTGATCAGGGAGGATGAAGATCACAGGCTTCAATCACAAGGAGGATCAGACAGGTGGATATCTGGACAGACCCAATGAACATTCTTCAATCGGTTCAGTTCAGGAAGAAGCTCAACATCCTGTGTGGTGGCCTAGTGGTTAGGGCATAGAGCTTGGAATCCTGAGGTTCTGGGTTCCACTCCCACAGACTGCCACTTTGGGTCTCTGACCAAGACCCTTGGCCCCACACTGCTCCCCAAAGGGATGGGTTAAACGCAGAGTGAATTTTGATGTGCTTTACTTTTGACAGTGTAATGACAATAAAAATGCTGGAAATAAATATATAAGTCAGACCTGTAAGTGTTTTATCGTCCACCTCTGCAACTGACTATCTTGCTTCTACGCATTTATTCTCAGCCAGATCAGATGATTGTGCTACTCCCTTCCCCTTCCACCTAACTGTCTCTAGAAGTCAAGTGAAGGGGCAACTGCAGAGACCAAATCGTAGTAAGGCCCCAGGTCCAGATGGTATTGGGCCCAGAGTCCCGAAGACCTGTGCAGAGCAGCTCTGTGGGATTCTACAGCACCTCTTTCACCTTAGCCTGACCCAGGAGAATGTTCCGGTGTTGTGGAATATCTCCTACCTTTTTTCTGTAGTAAAGAAAACTCTAAAACTACTAAAGCTAACAGTCCTCAATTAATATTCACCTGTTGCCCTGACATTCCACATCATAAAGGTCCTAAAGAGACTCCCGATGGTCCATCTGAGCAAGCACACAAGCAGCTTTGGGACTCCCTGCAGTTTGCTTATCAATATGGTGTCAAAGTTGAAGATGTTATCATATACCTACAACCCACTGTCATTTAGACAAGGTAGACAGCAAAGGGAGGAACAAAGGCGACTAGCAGTCGTTTGGTGCATCAGAGATGGACAAGAAGCTGAGTACAGTAGGTGGAGGAGTTTAAATACCTTAGTGTTCACCTGGACAACAAACTCGAATAGAGACACAAATGGGAAGTCATCAGCAAAAAATGGACATTGCAGACGGGACTTCTTAAGGAATCTTACATCCCTCAGTGTTTGGAGCAAGATACTGGATATCTTCTATAAATCTGTTGTGGAGAGTGCGATCTCTTCTGCCATCATCTGCTGAGGTAACTGCATCAGAGCAAATGGCGTAAAAAAGCTCAACAAGTGGATTTAGAAGCTTTGTTTAGGGACCTCTGTAGATGATTTCACAAAGAAGAATTCTTTTTAAAATTATGGACACGAGGGAAGATCCTATTCTGAAGATTGTTAAAGATCGACAGTGTCTTCAGTCAAAGGGTTCTCCAGACCTGGTGCAAGACCAAAATCCTACAGAAGATTACCCCTGCCCACAACTATCAATACCTATAAAAACTCGTTAAAAAAAAAACATTAGTTACAAGAAGAATTTATTTCCCTTTCGCATCAATAACTTATTTTTTAGATGAATTGTATGTATTCAAAGACTGATTTTACACTTGTTTGGGTAACCTAGGAATCTTTTTTTTTTGTTTATTGCAGATTTAGATTTGTATTTCATTTTTGATTTTAAAAAAACAACCCTACTGCCTTTTTTTATGTTTATTTCGAAAGCAGAGGCTCTATCCATCTAAACCTGCCATTAAATCTTTTTTCAGTGTTGAACCAATACTTGTTGGAAATAATGTTATTTTAAGAGAAACAAAACAGAGTCAAAGAAATCATGAATACTAGGTTGCATCTCCCTCTATAGCTGCCTCCGACTGAATTTAATATTCTTAAATATCCAGAATAAAAAAAAGTATATCAAATTTTAAGGTTGTGAGACAGTTTATCCAAAACAGTAGCCTTTCTGTTGAACTTGGCGTTTGTGATTACTTTTGCTTGGAGCACATTTAACACACTCTGCAGAGACCAGGACCTGTCAGCTCTACATTAAATGATCCCAGGCAGCTGCAGAGACTGACTCCAAAGCTTGCATAGTTTCTGGGCAGCTTCCACTCCTGTCACCTTATGAGTGAGAGCTTGGGGGCGGCGGGAGTCAGTTTGGATATCAGCAGCCAAGCACTCTTCCTCCTCTGCTTCCTCTGCACACTGGCATGTCTCAGATATGAATGTCTGTCCAAATAACCTCAGAAGGAAGACAGACTTGCCGCTTTTCAGTCATGACACTTCCGACTGCCCTGTCCTTTGCCTGATTATCTCTGAAGGTGCTTGTTGGGCTCTGTGTTGTGTGTGCTCTGACTTTCTGCTGTGTTTTGGTCACGCTTGCTGTCTGTCTCTCCTCAGGAATGCCTGAACTGCCTAACTACCCTCTCAGTCCTCGTATTGTAGTGTTTGGTACGTAACTGTCTGTGCATGTTCGTGTTGCATCTTTGTTCTCAGTCAAAAATTTGCATAACCTTGATTTAGATTTTATGATAATCTTTTTTTACTTCTGCGTCCATCGACGATTACCTTCAACTAGAATTATATTATGTATTGCTTGTTTTATATAAGAAAATAGGCTGATCTCTGCAGTCGCTCCAGCCAAAACTTTTAATAACTGATGCCCTCTTCCTTCCAGATGCCCTCCTTGCAGACTTAGAGAACACCAGCTCTCCTCCGCCTCGTTGTCCCGTCTTGCTCACCTCTGACCCTCCACAAAATCCTGATGCCAACTCCCATGACTCGCCCCAGGCTCGACCGCCACCGCCTGCCTACACCCCACAGCAGGTTAGCAGTCGGGACTTAATTAATTTGATTTTAAGGAAAACATTTTTTCCTTACAATCACCAATTGTCCTATTTTTGTTTCATAGACTGTTTCTGCTGCAATGAAGACTTCAAACAACTCCAACCCGGACAAATTATACAGGTCAGTCCTGCATTCTTTATCCACTATTTTTAATTAAAGTTAGTATTAAAAATATGTGTCCTATCTAATCATACTTAGTTGAATCAGCTTTGTTTCTGAGCTAATTCTATACAATAGAAAAGACTTTTAGCCATAGTTGGGTAATATATAAAATAAAATAGGATGCAATGAGCAAACCTAAGTATTACTTTTATAATGGGTCATAATCTTCAAACCAAAAGAGAAGAGATCAAGAACTAGCTCACAGCTTCAGCTACTACAGCTAGAAACCACTGATCATGCACTGCAAAAAATTTGATTCTCAATAAGTCATTTTTTTCTTAAAATAAGTGCAATCATTCTTGAATTAAAAAGGTAAGTAAGACACTTTACGAATGAAACAAGACAATTTACATTTAAAATAAGAAAAAACAATTGCACTGTCTTAGTTCAACTGCATAATATCTAGTTATCTTATTTTAATAGTAAAAACACTCATTCCATTGGGAAATAATCTACCTGCTCAAATTAAGAGTAAATACACTTACGGTAATTAAAGAAATTTTTACTAATTTTTAGATAATTTTTTATCTAGGGATTAAAGGACTAATGTCCAAGCAGGATCTAGAGAAACTCATTCCTAGTTCTGAAGTCCTTACACTGACTCCCTGTAGTTCAGAGAATAGACTTTAAAAACCTTCTGTTAGTCTATAAATCCATGAATGGATCAGCACCTCGAAACATAACAGATTTGTTGTCACTGTATCAACCTCCCAGATCATTCAGGTCTTTTAGCTCCAGTTCACCCAGAACTAGAACCAAACATGGAGAAGCAGCATTTAGTTTCTATGGTCCACTGATCTGGAACAAACTCCCAGAAGACTGGAAAATTACAGAAATCCTGAGTTCTTTTAAGTTAAAGTTAAAAACCCATTTGTTTAGAGCTGTCTTTGACTGATGAATTTAAACTGTAACTGAGGTATTATTAGTTTAAGTTTGTGGTCCAACTGTTTTATTTGTTTTACCACCTGCTTTTATCATGTTTTAATCATTACTTGCTTTTATTTTTATTTCTATTTTATTGTTTACTTCATGTATAAAACTAAACTTGCTGGCAGTTGTGTGTACTTCTCCCCAGCTGGGAGACCTAATTCATCACCAGATCAGTAGATATGTATTCAGTCTTACAAAAGGGCCTGACTGTGATGCGGTACTTTTTGCCATAGAGAGCGGCGATTCAACGGTGCAGCTGGTTTTGATAAAGTCTGAGTACCAACGTAAAGGTATAGTGGAGGATGTTCTTTTTCTGGATGGATCATCAAAATAAGTGGTCCTCTCAATTGTCAATCACTCTGGTGATATGTTTATGTAAGGCTGTCCTACATGCTTGTCTCCATCTTCACTTAATGGTGGTGAGTCTGACATACTGGAAAAATTGCAAATCTTCTTTTAAAGATTGAATGAGCTATGCAAACAGCAACTTTTGAACACAATGTGCAAGAGGAGAAATGGGCTCATGCATGCTCTTGCACGCGTTTAATAGGCGTTCCCTCTCGGGAGCGGGTACATAGTTGTGCATGTGCACTTTCTTTTTGAAGTGGAGAGAGAGGGTCTTTACAAAAATTTGCGAAAATCCTCCTTTATACCTTTAAGTGCCAATTACGTTGGTATAACTTACTTGATGTACTCATGTCAAAAATAGTGTATAAAGAGGCTGTGGCCTTGGCATGAGAACAGGATATACAGTCATTCAAAATGAAAAATGTGTACCGATATGCAACTCAGAAACTACCTCCGAATGCCAGAGACATTACTTAGCAAAATTTATACAACATGCAACTTTCTCTATGTTATGCTAGTTGCTTTGGTTTTTTGTTTGCACCGTCAGAAGATCAATCAGGATTGAATATTTCTCAGAAACCAGTTAAGGGTTACCATGAACTGTAAACATGTCTTTCTTTGCTTTTCCTTATGAGTAGGTTGGCTTTGGACCAGATGACCTTGTGACTCATTTCTAGACGAGCAGAGCTCAGCAGTGATCAAGATAATCCAGGCCCTTTTTGTGGGTGGATGTTTCATAATTAGCTTAACACTGAACTCTCCTCTGTTTTGCAGCACTGTGTGTAAACCACATTCTCCTCGCTCAGCAGATCCTCCGCCTGCCTTCTCTTCCTCCTCACTGCTGGGTGGGGGACTGAATGAACTGGATCATCTGCTGCAGGAGCTCAACGCTACCCAGTTTAACATCACAGGTCTTTGAATGCATTCACAAAGGTTTATCCAGCAGTTTTTGCTCCTGCAAAGTATTGATTTTTGTTATTTTATATGCAGATGAGATCCTGGCCCAGTTTCCTTCTTCTCAGAAAGATGAAAGGGACAAGATCAAGGATAAGGCCTCAACTTCCTCTTCCAGGTAGAAGCTCTAAGCTGTTTTAAAGTTTAGAATTGTCAATGCATATAAAGAGAATCCACAATCATCATAAGCTAAATCCTTACATGCAATCTCAGTTGAGTTTAAATCACCTCAAGAAGATCCAGTTTCATGATGTGCTGTGGTTTTTGTATCTAATTTAACTTTGATTATTTGTCTTTTCTTGTTCAAGCTCGTCCAAACCTTCAGCAACATCAGCCACCATGGAGCTGGACAAGCTGATGGCTTCACTCTCTGACTTCAGAGTCCAGACTACAGTAGGTTCTACACCCCCGTATACACAACTGAAGCTGGGAAACTGAAAACTGGGAGAACAATTTCAGATCTTGTGAAGTGTGTTTGTACTGGTAGGAAGGGTGTGAAATGTACTGTTTGTTGCTGAGGTATGACAGAGGATGTTGCCTTTAAGGTTGCTTTTACACAGCAGGCAATGTTCAAATCTGATCTTTTCATCTTCAAAAAGAAACAAACTGGATACTGCCACTTCCATATGTGGTAATAAATCAGATATTTATTAAATAGCTCATAAATAGTCGGTGGCCTGTGCAGACTTTTCTGTTATTACCCAGGCTCTTATTTCTCGTCTTCAGCACAGCAGTCGCTGCTCCACAGAAAAACATTTTAAATAGCTCTGCTCTCTCTTTTCTTACCTTTCTTTGTCCCATTATGATGTGATCACTATATTTTCGGCTCCCATAATTTAATAGCTTATAAAAACAGACAGATCCTGGCACTGGGTCTTACTTCAATAAATCATGCGCTGCTATGTGACGTCAATACTGTCCTGCACATGTTGGTCACATTGGGGTTGTTAACCGTTCAGACTGGAGTTTGATGGGGGTTGCATTTTCGTAGTAGTTTGAACGACCGTGCATAGAATAAAAAATAATAATTTCAGCCAAAAAAATTGGAGTTGAGGAACAAGACCTGCAGTGGGCAGCCTAAATGGTAAATGGCCTTTACTCATGGACGTAATTTTGGGGGGGGACACTTTTTCAAACGTGCGTGTTGGACCCCTGCATGTTTTACTGTCCAAAAACAATGTTACACTACAGTACACAGAAATTCATCGAGCACTAGGACCAAGCGAAGAACTCCAGCACAAGCTAAAGCCCACAAGTTCCTGATTGGCCCACTGGCTTTTCGTGTGATTGGCTGTCAAACATGCTGAGATTAGTAATATTAGAAAATACTTGCATCCCCCCCACTTATGAAATAAAAAATTTCGTCCATGCCTATACTTATACAGTGCTTTTTCAAGTCATAGAACCTGACCAAAGCACACTACACCATATTCAGCCATTCACACACAGTCACACTGATGGTCGTCACAGCTGAGGCTCACTGACAGAAGCGAGGCTGCCATACACAGGCTCCACCAGTCCTTCCGACCATCATCAGTAGGCAATGCGGGGGAAGTGTCTTGCCCAAGACATAACACTGAAAGCCAGAGCTTGAAACAACAACCCTTTGGTTGCAGCATCTGACGCTACTATCCCCCTAGCCTAGTGTAGGCTACCTACCTTTTTTTTTTTTCCTCCTTTTCTCATGCCTAACGACACAGTGACCATCAAAGGATGAAATGTTATCAATTACAAACAACCTTTCAATACCCCTAAGGATCAAATTGTCATGATGGGTTCTAGAGTAAAGCCCAAAATGCAGAACACACACACGGGAAACTGGGTAAAAGTCCAAACGAGTTTATTAAAGCACAAACATGAAAGTGATACGGGAACTGGTTCAGACAGGGGAGCAGGTTAACAGGAGATAAGACTGGTACGGGAGGTTGTAGGTTAGCAGAGTTCATGAATAGGCTAAGCATCTAGCTTCATGCTTAGCATGGCTGGCTTTGATCTGAGCTTCCAGCTCACTGCAGAGAACAACAGGGGATAAACACAAAGGATTCTTCTGGCCGAGCTTCCAGCTCTTAGCAGGGAACAACAGGGGAAAATCCTCATTGGATTCTTGAAGCTGATTCCACATAGGAACCTCCAGGGAAACTCCACATAGAAGTCATCAGGTTACATCCACGTAGGAATCTTCGGGTTGGCTCACCAGGGCAGATTAGCTCTCCCAGAGCTTCAGACCAGAGACAGGGTTCCAGTGAGGCAGCTCTTCCTGAGCTTCAGACCAGAGACAGGTTTCCTGTGAGGCACAGACAAAGGAGAGATTAGAATCAGATCTCACACTAGAGACAACCAAGATTCAATCTGTAACAGAAGGCTCAGGAAGCTAACCAACTAAGATCAACACTGTGGCGTGGAAGCAAGGTCTGGCAGGAGCTTATAAAGGAGCAGTCTTCTGATGAGAGGATTAGCAACAGGTGTGCAGGAAGATTCCAGCCCTAGGGGAACAATACACAGAACAGAAGAGGATCCTCGGTGCCCTCTGGTGGGCAAGCCTGAGGATCCCAACACAAATGATCCATTGCTGATTTATTCAGAAAATAGGATAATTTCTGCTACCATTGTTGCCACCTCTTTTAGCATTTAGAAGAAAGTTTATCATGAGTAGTCCAGATAGAGGGTCTGCATAGTGTAGCGCAGGGGGAAAAGACAATAGATTGCTGCGACTTTTGAGCCTTTTGACAAGGTTTTAATGAAATTCTGCTTACACTATGCCAGAGTTCCTATGTACCTCATTGTTCATTCGGCAGCTTTTTTGACATCCGAAAATAGCTGCCTGTTTTTGCTAGACATTAACATCTGTATACTTCATTATTTTACAATATGAGCTGCATGAAACTAAAACCTTCTTTACTCTAAGTAGCCCATCTTTGGATGCATTGAAGCATAAGGCTGATATGTAATAACATACATTAACATCATTGTTGTCTCACACCTATGTTTTCAGTTTGAGTTTAGGATTATTTATTCTATTTTTCTGATCATTAAGAATATTTATCTTTTGCATGTCAGTTATTAAGTGGATGATCCATGGCATGCTGCTTTAATGATGGCAGGGAGGAAGTTGATAAGATCCTTCAGAAAAAAATGGGGATGATTAATGTCTTTCTGGCATAAATAGATCAACATACACTGCCCTCTTGTGGATTTTCTCTTCTTGCTTTAATGTTGTAGATCATCACACACATTTTGATGTCAAATCAAATGATTTGATTTATCAGGGGAGTAAAAGCTAGTAAAATCAACTTAGCTCCATGTGAAAACTTATCAATCCCACTCTTAAATAATATCTTTACTGCCATTAATGGCATTTATTTAGTTGAGCTTCCGTAGCCACGCCGAGGCCTGATTAAGCTATGCAGCAATGGGCTTTTTAAAGATCAGCTGAAAATACAGTAAACAGTAAGCATTGTTGCTTGAAGTTCTTCATCCTTCCCTGACATATTAGCAACTAAAGACTTTCATCATCATCACCATCAGATTTATTTATATAGGGCTTTAAAAACAGCTACAGCTGAAAACAAAGTGATGAACATAGCTTAGAATAATAAAGAAATAAGACAATAATAAGAATTTGTTTAAGCTAAATAATCACAACAGCTAAGTCCTGCCAGTGTTAAAAACCAGCAAAGTAGCAGTACTCTTACTTGAGTAAATTTTTGGGTGTTCTAACCACATCGGATGCCATGCTTGAAGAATTAAAAAGTGGAACTTGCGTGACGACGAAGTAGAAAAAAGTATCTTAAAATGCGAAACTGAATCTTAAAAAAAAAATCTTAAAGCATGAGAAAGAAAGTCTGTTAACAGCTCTCAGCTTTGGAACTCAAATAAATCACAATAAGAAGTATGTGGCATAAAGAGGCCAAATGTGGAGCAGTGATGAAACCCTTTCAGGTGTGAACCTTCTGTCTAATGTGATCCACACTAAACCGACTGATCCAGGAACTCAAAAAAATTATTAAGAGCAACATCTCAAGCATTTTAGACCTTATTTTCTTGGGTTAAGTTTAAAGTTCATTATTCACCACTAAGAAAGGGACTATGGGGAAATTGTATCTATAAAACAGTTCCTCACATTTTCTGCAAAATATGCCAATGATCCTCAGGACTGTTGTTAAAATAATTGAAATAATTGGATGATTTGTCTTATCTTGTTAAGTTAGATCCAAGATTAATCCTGCATTTCTCAAAATGATCATACTAAAAGCCAAACGTGGTCTGTGTGATGGTGTGGCACTTCGGGACTTGGATGGCTTGTTAGGATTTATGGATTAATGATTCTGCTCTATAGTCCAAAATCCTGAGGTAGACGATCCAGCCGTTTGCTGGAGTGCACTTAAGTGGCAGAACAAATCAAAAGAAATCCTGTAAAATTGCCTCTAAATAGCTCAACAAATAAATGTTTTAGCATGTTTGTGGTTGTTCTAAAAACCCTCTAATTAGGCGGAGTTGGAATTATTGTGCATGGAAGGTACGGCTGACATGTGATGTCTAAGACTCATAATCAGTTATATACTGGGTGGGAGATGAAGGCTGGGATATGTTTAGGTTTTTTTAAAATAGGGTCACAATGGTTTGGAAATATATCTAAACCTTATTGAAATATTCAGTAAAATGCATTTGTGTCACATTAAGATTCTCTGAAACTGTGTTTAGTCTGATTCATTTAATATATTCCTTATTAGATGTAGTAGGGACTAATTATTGAGGAGGTGAAAAATAAGCTAATTTATCTTCATAAAGTTGTTTTGACTTGGGTTATAAACAAAACGCAGATGTATATAGGAAGCGCTTTGACCCACTCGGGCTTTTTCCAAAAAAACTGTGGTCTCCGAGGGATTAAAGTTAAAGTATTTTAGAGTTTCTTAGCAGCCTGTGGTCAGATCAGACCAGGCAGATTTATTAACCCATTCACTGTTCTGTGTCCTCTATCAGCCGGCTGCACCTGCCAGCCCTGTGGTCACTGCACCACAGCGGCCCGCCACCCCACCGCAGCAGCCCGCAGCTCCACCCCAGCCTTCATCCGGAGGCTCATTGGACAGCATGCTGGGACTCCTCCAATCAGACCTGACCCGACAAGGAGTTCAGACGTCCTCCAAGGGAAACTGTTCGGCCTGTCAGAAGCCAGTCGTAGGGCAGGTGAGCTTCATCATCATTTGTTCCCTGTTTTACACCATGGATATATAAGTATTTCTATATCTATCTATGTCTCTAATCCACACCATGTTCTCATGTGACATAGGTGGTGACGGCTCTGGGGAAGGTGTGGCACCCTGAGCACTTTGTGTGCACAGAGTGTGAGACAGAGCTGGGCAGTCGCAACTTCTTTGAGAAGGATGGGCGGCCGTACTGCGAGTCAGACTACTTCATGCTTTTCTCCCCCCACTGCGCTCACTGCAGCAAACCCATACTCAATGTGAGCCACTTGGACATACAGTAATATAACACATAAAAATCCTAGAACGCTTGTTTACCACTGTTACCTTCACTCTTGTTCTTTTGCGGGTTTAGAAAATGGTCACCGCTCTCGACAAGAACTGGCACCCGGAGTGTTTCTGCTGCGTGAAGTGCAGCCGCTCATTTGGAGACGAAGGTGATGAATCAGGCTGAAACAGAAAGCAAACTTTATTTAAAATAACTTCTGTTGGTTTGCATCATAATCTAGCATTTTTGCTGATATAATAACCAAATGAGATGGTTTTCAAAACAAAAATGTCTACAGTTTCCATTTAATGTAAAACAACTAACTCCTGGTAAGAATTTCAAAGTAAATTTCAAAAATTTGGCTAAATTTCTTTGTAGGAAAAAAATTCCTGATTTTAAACTCTGTTAATAAAAAATTTAACCAACATTAGGGAAGCCATTATGTAGAAAAACCTCAGAACTGAGTGTGATAATAGGCTAACTTTACCAGCCTTGCTTTGTTCCATTTCCCCATTCACCGCTCCTGTTTTAGATATTTTATTAGGATATTTTACTGTAGCTGTTCCTGACATCACAGATTTACCTGCATCATATCAAGTTTTCCTCCCTTTCCAAATGTATTTCTTCAACCACCTTTCCCACAGTGATTCACTAAGAACTCAACAAATGTTTAGACACAATTAAAAGACAAAGACTAAATAAAAGGACAGAACTATACAAAAAAAAAGGGTTTAAGGTTTTTTTTTTAAAAAAAGGACATTTATATTAGTAAGTCTTCATGTCATGGGTCAGAACAGAGGGACGCAGTATTCATATAAGACAGACATTGGGATAACTTAAAGCATTTATTCAGCAATAACGAACATTTTGCGGATCTGTAGCAGCAGTGGCTAGGATGTCCAAGGCAGGTAACTCTAGCGAGAAGAAGCACAGGTTAGTGTCCACAAAAACCTGACGGAGGATAATATGAACGTGTGAGTCACTGACCTGGTGTAGAGCTCAGTCCGTTCCCAGAGAACGAGGTTGATCAGCTGAACAAGATACAGCTCTAGCCGCACAGAGAGTTCCAGATGCTAAAGTGTTGAAGGAAACAGAATTGACAGGAAATCAGATCCAAACAGAAAGGCAAGATAATCCAGAGGGCAAAGTCAAGAGGCATATCGAGGTTCAGTCCACAGTAGAATCTAACAGGATCCAAAGACAGGTCAGGCAAACAGATCAGAACAGGAGCAGGCAGGCTCAAAGGTCCAAAGACAGAAACGGGTCAGGATCAGGCAATCAGAACACAATAAGTAAAGCTAGAAAAACTCTCACACCAAAGGCTCAAGAATAGTCTGGCACTGACAACTGGAAGCATGCACCTTAAATAGAGGCAGGAGCAGGTGGATCAGATTAGCAGTGATAAGAAAACTGGGTAGAATTGGACAGGTGAATGAAATGAGCAATTAAGCCAGTCATCGGAGCAATGATTATGCCACTTCAGCTTGATTTTAGTAAGTCCCGATTCCAAAAAATTCATCCTCTCCAGTTTTAGATCTTCTCCATGGCATTACCACCTTATTCGGGTTTGAAGACCTGAGGTTTTGATTTTGGATCATGTGGCTTAAACATTTTATATCTCCAATTTCATCTCCTATTTACAATCTCCTATTTTCACAAAAACCTTCTTGGTTTTTGTGAAAACAACCTGTTTGAAACAACTGTTTCAAACAAGTTGTTTTCAAGGATGTAGAAGAGATGTCAATTAAAACAAACACCTAATTTGGCGCTACTTTGTGATGAAATCTAATCTGTTGTCTGAGGAGGAAGGGGTTCATCTGGCTCAGGCTTTATATGTTTTATGTTCAGGTGGATTACTGACTACAGCTTCTGAAACTCTTTTACTTGAAAAATTAAAGCATAAAATGCTTCATTTGCATTTATTTCTTAGTTCGGGAAGTAATTTTTCCCCTTTTAATTCTTTTTGCAAGATTTAATTTCCCCATTCAATAAATGTGAATAAATGCTACTGCAATAAAAAAAGGTTTCTTTATTTTTTCTAAATTCATATCAGCAGGTATATTTAATTAATTTCCATTACCAGCTAAATTTCTTCACTGTGCAGAATAATTTAAAAAGGTCCATGCCTTTTTTTTTTTTCTCGGTTGCATTTACCAAATTCTTGTGAGCACTGCTGCATATCTGTTTCTGAACTGTTGTAAAGCTGCGGCTTCCTCCTTCAGGTTTCCATGACCGAGACGGCCAGCAGTACTGTCAGCAGTGCTTCCTGACCCTGTTTGCCTCCCGCTGTCAGGGCTGTAGCCAGCCTATTCTGGAAAATTACATCTCAGCTCTCAACTCTCTCTGGCATCCACAGTGCTTCGTATGTCGGGTGAGATTTTGTCATTTAATCAGCAACGAGCCGCCGTGCCTGGTTCAATTAATCATCCCAAGGTAAAAACTTGAGATGATAAATAGAAAATCTGAGCCTCCTACAAGCTAATTGATTGAACCGCTTCAGTTTTTTTTTTTATTTAAACGCTATTTAAGATTATTAATTCTAGCTATATGTTTGTTATTTTCAAACCAAATTATTAGATTGTTTTTTTTTTGTTTTTTTTAAGGGGGGGCTAAAGTCGAACTAAAACCTGTAAAACTTTCCACAATCAGTACTGTTCCCTTTATTGGAGCATGATTACTATCACTGTTTTTAGCTTGTTGAAACTATTTAAAGAACAAAACTTAAATGTATAGTGGAAGATGTTCTTTTTCCGGGTGGATCATCAAAAAAAGTGGTCCTCCTAACTGTCAATCATTCTAATGATATATTTACGTAAGGCCGTCCTACATGCTCGTCCCCATTTTCACTTACTGGTGGTGAATCTGACATAATGAAAAAATTGCTAATCTTTTAGAAAGTAAGCTTGTAAACAACAACTTTTAAACAGAGCGTGCACAAGGAGAAATAGGCTTGTGCAACATGTTTAATACGCCTTCCCTCTCGGGAACGGGTATAGGTTGAGCATGTGCATTTTTTTTTAAGTGTAGAGGACAGGTCTTTTTAAAAATTGGCGAAAATCCTTCTCTATACCCTCAATTATACTACAATCCACTAAAGTGACCATGCATTACTTTCTAATATTGAAGGCTTTTGTCAAACTACTTATTGGATTTGGAAGATATTTCTTCAAATGATTTCATTGGATTCATTTATATGCAATCCATGAACACTAGAACAGTTCTGTAAAATCTGAGTAGCCTTTAAACACTGTTAAAAATAGTTTTAGCCTTTTTATTTAAATCCTAAGTCTCAAAAACATGCCAAGTATTTCTTCTAAAGGGCTGCATGGTGGTGCAGTAGGTATCCTTGCAGCAGAAGGGTCCTAGACTTAAATTATGTCTTTGAGTTTGCCTATCTACCCCGAGTTAACTCTCAATAGCCTGCTTAGATGTTTTCTGTTTGTCTGCTGTGTCTGAATCCTCGTCTTGATCCTCGTCCCCACCAGGAATGCTACAGTCCCTTCGTCAACGGCAGCTTCTTCGAGCATGATGGTAAGCCGCTGTGTGAGGCCCACTACCACCAGTCCCGCGGCAGCATGTGCCAGGCCTGCCAGCAGCCCATCCTGGGGCGCTGCGTCACCGCCATGGGGGCCAAGTTTCACCCCCACCACCTGGTGTGCCACTTCTGCCTGAAGCCCCTGAGCAAAGGCTGCTTTAAGGAGCAGGAGAGCAAACCCTACTGCCACCCCTGCTTCATCAAGCTGTTTGGTTAAAGGCACTTCTCCAAAGCTCAGCTCTGATCCCTGAATAAAAAGCCATGTGATGTATTTTTTTTACAATAGTTCTTGCTTATTTAGTGCACAAGTAGAGATGGAGCAGGGCTCTTTGCAGATCACCCAACGCCTCACATGTTTGTTTATTAGAAAATTTGGGTGGAGACAAAACTTTAAAAACAGTGCCAAATGATTCCCTCATGCACTAAAATTTAGTTTTTTTTTTTTGCCAAAATAAAGAATCAGATAAAATGTATTGCGCTTCAGTTCAAGAGATTTATTGTTATGAAAAAAAGAGTCCTATAATATATTCGCTTTTCAATGCAATAAGTACACGTTTCACAGCATTTGCATTTATGTACTGTTTGCTGATCGCTAAAAATGTTTATGTAAACTATCATATGGTTAAAGTTAGGTATCATTCACTTATTCTTGCTGTCTGCAAAATCCCAGAGGCTTTTCTAGAAATAAAGATGATGTTTTTATGATGTTTTGTCTTTTTTTAAGTTATTGTTGCGAGCAAAATTAGAATAGAAACAGATTTAACTATCTTTACGATCCATAATTGTCTTTTTTGCACTTATTCCTAATAAATAAAATATATCAAGAGCTGAAAAAACTAGATGAGCCTTTGCAGTGTAAAAACAAAAAGAAGCAATGAAAAATTGCTAGAACCAGGCCTGTCCAGGGTGGCTGATTTTGATGTTGCTGATGACACAGGTGGTGAATATAGATGGAGGCCTTTTATTTTCAACCAGTTGGTAATGGTATTACTAACACAAAAATGGGGTGAACTGCCACTTTTGCTTGGTGGAGGGGTTTCAGTGCTCAGATGATCCCAGGTGCTATGTTTTCGGTGGGTTAAATGCCTCTGGTAGAGTCTCCCAACAGGCTCTGGGTGAAGGGTCAGTCAAAGATCAAGAAGCCCTGGTGATGAGGACAGAATCAAGGCACATGACATTCCCTGGTACAGTGACCTCATCCTGCAGCCAGGCCCGAGGTTTGGGTTTGTCAAGGAGCAGCTGGTTGTTATGTTTCTTCTCATGGGACCCAGCCAGGCCAAGCCCAAAGGACTGATGTGTGGCCATCCTCCAGCCAGCCTATCACCTGCCAGGGGACCCATGATGAACCAGAGCTAAGAGTATTGGGCAGCAATCAGAGGCTGAGGCCTCTGTGCCCTTATCAATGGCCGCTATGACTCTAGAACCCTGCTCATTGAGAGAGGCTGAACTCTCTTCTGTGTCGGTTTCTCTCCTACCCAGTTTTAAGTTTACCACAGGCAACGAGAGGGTTAGGGGCAATGAGTGGCTACAGTTGTTGGATAGTACTCATCTCAGGTTTTCCATCATTCTGCTGGATGACTGCACCCATGTAGGAAATTATAACGGCCAAGAGAATTTAGAGGGATGTGATCGGGAGCTCTGAACCAAAGTGGGGTTTCATTATTGGACTACTGTCCAAGTCATGGATTGTCCATAATGCTGTTCCAGCATTAAGATGTCCATATGTGCACTTGGAACCAGGACACCAATCACCATGTGGTGGTGAGCTGGATATGCTGGAAGAGGAGTAAGCTGGGTAGACTCTAAAGGCATAAGGAAGAAGTGAGAATCTATTGGGAATGTTTGACTTGTCCGTCCATGAGACCATCTCCCTGATTCAGGGGCAGGCTGAGGACATGGAGTCAGAGTGGACCATGTTCTCTGCCTCAGTTGTTAGTGCTGCCAGCCGTAGCTATTGCTGTAAGGCTCTGGTTTGGGTACCAGCAGAAAGTGCCTCTATCCAAGACCTACAACATGAGTTGGGGCAGTTTGCAGCCGGGGTGAGGAAAAGCTGGATCAGAGGCTATGGTTATCGACTGGAAAAAGATGGCTTGTTCTTTTAAGGCCGGAGAAGAGTTCTTGCCTCAAACAGAGGAGATCAAGTTTCTTCAGGTGGACAGGAAGAAAGGAGCTGGATATTGGAAGACGTGTCTGGAGAAAGGAGATAGTGAAGTCTGGGCATCTTTGCTGAGACTGCTGTCCCTGCAACCTTGTCCTGGATAAGCAGTTGACGACAAGAATGAGTACAAGTATAACTCCAATGCATTAAATGCAGAATATGATATGTCTGCTGCTAATTAATGTATTAAACTTGATTTTAAAAATCTATTTTTTTTACTCATAACTATTTATTTTATATTTTATCATTTTGACTTAATTTCTGTGTTAATTTACAAAAGGTATGAGCACTCCTTCCTTATACCATTATTGATGTTCCTTTTGAAATCAAAGTATTTTTGAATTAATTAGTAACCGTTAAAATTAATATTTGATTGATTTGTTATTATCAATACTCAATTATAGTCATAATGAAATTAATAAAAAAATAATATAGATTCAATCCACACAAATTGATTTTTGAAAGGCTTTTTCTATCAGTTAACTAACAGCTAATAATAAAACTTTTAGGAAATATTACAACATAATAAAAAAACATTTGTAAAGCAGAAACATAGATTTAAGAAAGAAACATGTGAAGTATATTATAATATTGATAAAATATGCTAAAAACTAAACTTACCTTGCTTAAATATTTCATTAAAGGTTCGATAAAAGCATTCATTTTAGAATCATAATTATATGTAAAAACACTGGACAGTTCAGGCCTTTTGGCTAAAGATGCCAGGAGTCCCAATGCATAGTCAAACTAGCAACTCTACAGCTGCAGGATCTTAAGCCGATTTATGGATCAATGATATTTCTTTACACGAATAAGGAATGTTAAAATATAGTTGTTTATGTGTGTTTGTTTAAATTTGATTAATGTTTTAGTTAATATATAATTCTATAATTTCCCATATAACTTCTCAATAATGGTGCCATTAATTACAGCAGTACCAGACTTATGTTTCGCATCTCCAAATTTCAAATAGTCAAATAACAATGCTCGAGCAATATCTGACCTTTTTTTTTACCTTCTCCTTTTTTAAGCATGGCAATATCTGACCTTTTTTTACCTTCTCCTTTTTTAAGCATGTCAGATTCTTTTTTTTTCTTTTTTTGGCAATGTGGCATTAAAAATAATTAACTTAAAGCCAAAAAGAGAGCCCAACAGATTTTGCTTTCACAAGTGGAGCAGTGCGGCTTTCGCCATAGTGTTCCGCTTGATTTATGCATATAAAGAGATTTATTATTATTCATGCAGAGAGTATTACATATTTTATGGACACTGCAATGTAAGTAGAACAGGAAAGGAAGAGGAGATAAAAGATCTTCAGTTCTCTTCATCACCTGCAATGCAATGTAAAAAGAACAACATAACCAATGCATATAAGAGATACAATAACGTAACACCTTGATACTATCGCTGAACTATAAGTGGTATTATTTAATCTGACATTTATACTGTGGTAGCTGAAGATAAGAATATGGGCTTTCTGTATGGAAGTGAATCTCTAAGTCCCTGGAGCAAAACACCTGTAGTTGTTTGTGATAGTGTACTTTTGCATGTAAAGTTTATCCAAAGGTAAAATGATCAATAGAGCACCAAGGCGAGCGCCAGGGGACCCAAGTTAGATTCTTTAAACTGCCGCTATGTTTAGTAAAGCAGAAGAATACATGAGAATAAATGGGTGCAAATTTTTATTTCTCTCTATATATATATATATATATATATATATATATATATATATATATATATATATATATATATATATATATATATATATATATATATATAGCCTATATATATATTTGATTTTATTTGTTTATTTTATTTTCTATTTTTTTAATGCCAAATAAATAACTAAGAAGCATTTCCAAGTAAAAAATGAGCAGATAATGCTGATTTGAACCAGCAGAGGGCCCCAATCTCTCACTTTTCGTTTGGAATTTGCGTTTTACTGTTTTAATTTTTTTGTTTGTTTGTTTGTCGTTGTTTTCTTTGAACTTCCAAACTTTTAAAATTGAAGGACGAAAAGTTAAGAGACGCAAGGTGCCAGCAGCACAAATGAGCTCGTGAGGCGACAGCTGCGTCATGACGTTTCCACGCCGCCCAGGTGTGTTCATTTAGAGGTTAATGAGCGTCTCCTGGTGTCCTAGCTGAAAAAAGCAGATGATGCTGAATGGAAAGGAGTCGTGAGAGCTTGGATTCAAGTGTTGTAAATCTTTCCAGGAACACCATGAGTGATTCAGAACAACAAGTAAGTGGTTGTCATTTCTTATTAAGTGTATTTGGTCAAGAAGCTGTGCAGGTAAAACCAGATCTTAATTAAGTTAAATAAAGGTCAAATCAAAAATTTACTGTTTTTAGATGAGTTTTTTTTTTTTTTTCCAACTTCAGGAATCAGATAAAGTGAGTGAAGCTCAGTGGCCTGAGAATGGAGGGTCATGGAGTGACACAGAGAATGAGGCGGGGATGGACAGTGATCTGCTGCAGGCCATGGCTGAGGAAGACGAGGAGATAAACATCTTTAACGAGGAAACATTTGGGATGGGTAAGACCATGAAGGCATTTCAGGCAGATGTTCCTCTGCCTTGCTCTGCTGCAATAACTTACAATCTCATAAAGATACAGAAAACAAAAAACCAAAGGAAGCTAATGCAGTCTTTGAGTATTTCATAGTTTTAAATGGAAGAATTGAATACAGTTGGAGAATAATAAAGAATTCAATTCTTTTTTTTTTTTATAAATGATCAGCATGTGGTCAATTCAGGTCATTTACTCAGTGATGGTTTAGTTGAACTGAACATTTTCATAGAACAGTCCTAGATTTTGGGTATAGTGAATAAATATTAACAATGAAATGTCAAATGCATTTTATTTTTTTCATGCAAGCCTGTCCAAAAAAACTGAAACTAGCAGCACATACATCTGCGTTGGAAAGTAAAGAAGAAAAAAATGCTAGTGACAAAGATTGCTTAATTTATCTGACTAGACATGAAGAATTCATTAGATAAATATTGAAATTGTCCTCAAAATGCACAGCCTGACCAGATTTATTAAAATCTACTCAAACCTGACTAAATGTATGCAGGAGGAATAAAAAATCTTCTCAGATGGATCATTTCCTGAATCATCAAAACTAGCTGCTTCTCTGTAGGCAGAAGGAGGTGCAGGTGTAACCAAGTTCTTGAATTTTTCTTAGTTTTTTTTTTCCACCATGTGGTGTGAAAATGTGTGCATTAACCTCTGGAAGTCCATAGACCTGTATTCCGATTCCATATTGTTGAAGCCAAAATATTATAGATGTGCTGAAGTAATAATTGTGTATTTATCCTAGATGTTGACCCAAACGGGACGGCAAACTCCTTAGACAATGGTGGTATTTCATTTGGAGAGCCACTGCCTTCGACACCACCACCGAATACGGACCCCAAACCCTTGTCCCCCAGCACATCCCCTCCATCCCCTCCCAGGCAGAGGCCACAGTATCTGCCACAGTATCCAGCCCGGGCTGCCCAATGGCAGCGGATCAGAGGACCGAGGTGGAGGGGAGGACTGGGCAG